AAAGTAAGAAGAAATTTGAGCACCAGGCAATGTTCTCTCTAAGCTTTGCGTGTGTGTGTGTGTGCACAGGTAATGAAATCAGCCCACATAGGAAATTGAACTGCACAAAAAAAAAAGAATTAAAAAAATGTATAATAATAAAACGAACACGGTCTATGCTATGCTCTTGCAGTCTCGTACTTCACTGCTCATGTTCGCTTGACACTCAGTCTCTATGACTGGGCTCCTTGAAATCGCTGTCCCGGTCTTTTAGATCTCTATGCTTCTATGAGAATGACTATATTAACAAAAAATAATTTCAGGTTTACAATTTTACATACTGTACACTCAATTTGGTGGGCACACGTTTTTGTCACTGAGGAAAAAAATTGCCAACTTGAAATTTTTGCGCACACAGGCCATTAAAAATTAGAGGGAACATTGCCACCAGGGAAACATTCTTATGAAAACATGAAGAACATGGCATCCCCATACACAGTCCACCAATCTGGGCCCAAAAGCTTTGAGACAGCAGTGCTAACTATCATGCTACCATATCACCTAGCATATTAGTCCATTGATCTTAAAATCCAAAGGGGCTTTAGAATTACTAACAATAGGATAAAAAAAAAACAGAGAGTAACAATCCCATTCATTTAACTGATGGAAAAATCTTGGACAAAGAACCATTAAAATGCAGTTAGGAGAAGACAGCACTTTCCATCACTGTGTTGTTGGAATCCTGAAATCGGTTACATGGCTAAGGAAAAAAAAGAGATAAAACCACACTTCCAATTGTTCCAAGTATTTTGTACCAGTGTAGTTGTAGTAGTTTTTAATGGAACAGATTTAATATTAGAGTTTTTGTGTTTGAAGAACATCACAAAAATAGCAGCACTCTATTACTATATTTTTATTGATGTTACAAATTAATCTTTTCCTTCCCTTCTCTCTCAAAAGAAAAGAATATACAAAGCATGTTCCCTAGTTACACTATTTCAGCAGTTTCTGCTTAAAATAACAAGGTACAAAAAGTGAATGTAAAACAGAAAAGATGAAAGTACTTTCATGCTATTTTCCTAGTAACAAGCACCATTGGGATTGCTTGTTATTATCTGAAGCTTAATACTGGGTCTTCTCAACGAGTGTGAAAATGTTAAGGGACTCTAGTTTTGGCTGTTCATACTTACAAGTCAACATGGGCCTTAGACAATGTTACTGGACTTAAAATGCAGCTCACATACTGTCCATTTAATCAAACTCTAAGGCAATACTACCGTAAAAGGTTTCTTTTCAAAATCTCACAGTCAATACAAAGTGTTAAAAGCCCATGTAATGTGATTAGTTTCCACGGGTCCAAAACCATTTAATTGGCCACAGAATTCTATATCAGTTTAAAAGGTTTTATATTTCTTTCCCACTGACCAACTTGTTGAAATCCACAACTTAATTTTGAAAAGCACCCTGACTCTCCCATAATTAGTTTTAAAACCAGGAAAATGTGTCGGGCTACAAACGGTACAGAACTGCTGGAATTGAAACAGGGCGGTGTTTAACAGTTTCTAAATAACATAACTGTATGATGGTACAAAAATTAAATGAAACATAAAAACTTTGCAGGTCAGTCAATTCACAGCTCCCCATGTTACATGAAAAGGTAGGCACAGGAGAGGTAGAAAATGAAGAGCTAATCTTTGTTGCTTCCTAGGTTGATGTCTCTTTGTGAAATGAAGATAAATGAACCAATTCAATTGCTCATGGGTTTTTTTATATGGACATCATGACAATAAATTGAATCCATGACTGTCTGAAGTATAACTTAAACAGCAATGTTAATTGAAATATTAACATTCCTCTTTTATGTTGCTCTTCAGCACTGATTTTATACCTCTAAGTGTTTAATTGTGTTTGAAATGGCTGAATGAACAGTAAGGCCAAAGGTTATCTTAAAGTCCAATGGTATATGAAAGATGACTTCCTTTTTTACAAGTCAAATATACAGTACCAACAGCCAGCACCCATTAAAGTAATATATAATATAAATATTTTAAATAGCAAACAGAACAAAATAAAGACTTTTTATATGATGAAATTCTGGTCCATTCCATTACTTCTTCTTAATTATTAATAGTGATTGATATATTGAGGTTGAAGGCATTTAGCTCACAAACCATCAAAAGTCTGAAAAAGAGAAGATTTACAAGAAGAGGTTTTAAATCATTACAGTAACCATGGACTTGTAATGTTTTAGCAAATGACAGTTTTCAACGGCCCTGTTAACGGTTTCAGATACATCCAAAATCTTTAATTTCATCAAATCCACAGAGGTGGTAGCAATAAGAATATACAGTATAAATGCTGAAAGATTCCTTGTCTTCATTAGTTTGACTGCTTCCATGAAACAAACAAATAAACTCATTTTAGAATTGGATTTTGCATGGTTAGAGCTGGTAATTAGTTTTATTGTCATATGTGAAGGATCTTAATCTTATTTGAAACTGCTGCTGCTCTCTTCTTCTAAAGTACTTCCTCTGGATTTATCCACAGCAAATATTCTCCATACAGTATCTAAATGAAATACAGTACCTGGAACTTAACATACCCCTCAGATGTTAGAAAGCAAACTTTGCATTTCCCAATTCTATTGTAGACACACTCTAGTCACAGTAAAAGCATGTGTCTTTTACAGGACAGAGACAATTGTTTCATATCCCATAATCGTTGGAAGAAGTTAAGAAACACAGTTTTCCATTTAAAAAATACAAGACAATATTAATTGCATTTTTATGAATCTCTCCACAATAAGTGTAGAAATGTTCTTGGGAACAACCTGGTTTGCTTTTCATGAAGAAAATATTACTCCCTGTTTCATCAGGGAGTTAAAACCGAATTTGTCATTAATTAGACAAGGCGTTAAAAAAAAATCCCCAAAATGCAAATGGACATTCACTTAAAATAGATGGAAAGTGATTTTAGAGGTTTTGCTTTCTATTCTTTCTCCTCACCTCACTCAGTCTGTGAAGGTGCACTATTTTCTCTTTTATACTAGTCAAATGACATCATCTGAATCTGACTATAAGCTCTGCCCTTTCTGTCAAGGGCAAACAAGAGAACGGAAGCCTCTTCTGCAGCAGTACTCTACAGTACGTGTATTAGTGCTAACATATAACATTATATACTGTACATTGCAAATTAATTGAATATGGTTATATTTTTTAGATCAATACTCAGCAAATATAGCATTCATGATTTTTTCATCCACTTTAGACCACTATGTTCAATATAGTCTTTTCTAAGCAGCACTGTCATTGAAATATTTAATGTTCTCAATAATTTGATACATTATGCACAATGCATTCCCCAGGGTTTTGTGTCCATCATTCACAAGTCATAAACCACCAGAATGTTGTTACTTATAATTGAAGCCAGAGTGTTCAAACTGGGAATGTAAAAAATGCAATAGTTGATTAATTAAATTAATTTAACTCGACTAAAAAAAAAAGATGATGACAGCCTTCGTAAAATTTACTTTTCAAATGATTATATTTGGGATGCCTTTGGTGTTCTTGGTGTTAGTGGTTGTGGTTCTACAGTATATTTGTAGCGTATATTTTTTAAAGCAAATGCGATTCATCCTGTTCTCAGTGGAAAGTTTATCAATATTTGCTGTTGCCATTGTTGAACTGGAAGTACAGTATTGAGGAGCTTGACCCATCTCCATCAGGAAAATAATAATTTCGTTATGTTAATAGTTAAGTTTCCCACCATAAAATTAAGTGCATCTCAGAGTTACAAAAAGTATGAGCCAGAAGTCCAAAATTGTTCAAGTGAAATGTTGAATAGTTATTTTCTTCAAATTGAGCCTCTTTTCGTTTTGTTTTCTTGTTGGCCTTCTCGCTTCTGCTACCATAGTTTCAATAAAGGGACAAGTAAAGGTGTGTAACAACCGAAGAAGACTCCACAGCCGAAACATTGTGCTTCTTTTTTTCTTTTCAGCATGGAATAAACCTTTACTTGTTCCTTTGCAGCCTACACATGCTGATTCAGCTACCTACTTGAACTAAATAGTTTCATTAAAGTTCATTGTACAGAATGCTTCTGTACCCAGCTAATCGGCATTAGATATATCACACAACTGTGAGGGTAATCCTTATAGAGCATGAACATAAACTCCATTTAATATTTCATTGATTCTTATGAGTCTCTGGATGAAAAAATACAGCAATTATATGATTGATTGACTGTTGGAATAACAAATTGTAATCATTCATGAAGCAGATGTGAAATACAAATAAACATACACGGTATTTTGTACATACAGCACAGTGTGGATGAGCTGGCTGAACAATGTGCAAATGTTTTAGCTAAAAAAATTCTCAACAATATATACTGTACTGGAGAGTCTCAGCCTTCTCAGCCTAAGGTTGTTGAAAAGCTGATGGCACTGTTGAAGAATTACACATGGTGAATGACTATGCTCTAGGCAAACTTTCAACAGAGTCATATCACTCAACAGACACTTTGCGCATATTTAAAGAAAGGGGCATAGAATGTATTTTTTGTATTTTTTATAAGAGCTGACAAAAGTCACAATTCACAATTCCAGTAAAAGGCATTTGAATTGGCATTCCCATCACAAAAACAAAACATTAAAGCAACGAGTCAAAATGTTATCTGAAATAGTTAAAAGAATGTAAACAGCCTAGCACAGTTCCACAATGTTGGACTTCTAAACATGAGATGTTATCATTGTTATTGGCCACAGCCATAACTCTCACACTCAGAGAAAAGAAAAATGGAAAATAGGCAGTATGAGACTTTTCTACATGTGGACTAGAATAATAGCCCCGGGGGGGTTCCCCTTCCTCGCTCTATCCCACAACGCGCTCCTGCATCTAGCTTTTGTTCTTAACACATCAAACTGAACAGATGGTGTTCAGCTTGGACCATTGTGACAGACACTAGCAGGCAGCCAATCAGGTGCTAGGGATCAGCTGACTCGCCTGGACAGCACCAGGTGCTCCCATCATATTTTGTAAGCGGAGCCTGGGAGTGCAAGTAATAGCGCTATGTAGGGGTGCGCTGGTAGTCAGAGGGAGGATCGCCGGTGGTGAGCTAGGATTTCTGCTGTTAGTCAACGCAAGACACGGGGCAAACGCATAGGGTTCAGTTTTACAGCAGTTGTTGAAAAAATTGTAGCATCCCTTTTTGTGGATACTAACCAAAGGTATAGTCAGATTTCATGTTTGTCTGCTGCTCGTATCTCAACAGCGAATTATTGTATTGGTACCCATATACCCATCTATTATTCTGCCTGCGCACCCTATTTTCCAAAAGTGTGGAAAGGTTCTAGTTGAAGCATTTATGAACGGAGGCTGACATGCTTAAAAGGTGAGTCTTTTTCAATCATACCGTATACCTTTGGAAAGTAATTGATAAGCAAGCTTCTTGTTTTTAGAAAAGCTGCATGATGTTCTGCAGGTTTGTGGGTGCTCTTTTTAGATAATAGACGTGGTAAAAAGCAGGTAACGATTTAATAGACGAATGTTGTCAACATGACATCATTTATTAAGACATGGCTAACATTACAGCATTGCACCTCACACCTAAAGGCGTCTGTGAAAAAATACATTCTGTTTTACCGAGATCTAGCACTTGCTGTGTTATGGACTGAAACACATTGCTTCGGATAAACGTGCTTTCTCCAACTGTGCAGAGCACTCACTATCGCAGTGAAGAAAATGTTAGGACTACACATGCGCTCCTTCTTTGAAAACAAGGGAAGGTGTTGCCACTTGCCTCTCAAGCAAAAGCGCATTTCTCAATGTGTTTTCACATAGAAAAAAATGCATAATGTTTAGATATTTCTATTCATTTATAAATAATGATCATCATTTTAAAAATCTGGTATCTGTGAAAAACGCTTTTCATGCCTTTCAAAGGACAATCTGTAATAATGTGCATCCTATCCGCACCGATTCTGTGCACTTGAAGCTTCGACTATATTAGCCGAGTATTTCATGGGCCTCTTTTTGAACACTCTTGAGCATCCGCTGTTATAATTTATTCATGAAGGCATCTTTCTGATATGGCACACTTGGGTGGAAAAGGACAGATTAACTAACACCTGACGTTTAGTACAAGTGCCGCATTTTAAACTTGAGTGAAAAATCTGCAGACCTAATTTCTGAATTCCAATGAAGTACTTTTAAGTAGACTTTCGGTCAAGCAGAGGTATACTGTAAATGCTGTGCCGCATAGGTACGATGTTTTCGAAATGTAAAATGTGAATTTTAAATGTTATTAATCTAAATTTGAGTTTGAACGTTGAATCCTACCTTTTGTTTTTGCTCTTAACCACGTGCTTATTCTGTAAAATATGTGTAGCAACGGTCAGTTTTGGAATGGTTTTATAAATATTATCTTTAAAGAAAAACAAATACTGCAAAATTGGGTCCAGTGTCCACTTATCGTGTAAGACTCTAGTTCAAACTAAAACAAATCAGAATAGCAATAACTATATAGTATATGAAGGTTATCGACCATTTAAACGGATGCAGTGTGATTAAAACTTCCATGGTGTTCACAATAAATGTTTCTTGTCCAAAACTGTGTCTCAGTAAATGTAATATTGTTACAATGATTAAGCGTCTGCAGATGACAGACTGCATTGTTAAAAACTTCAATTCACTTGTTAGGTCTCGCTTGAGCAAAACAGCAGCTGATGCTCGCTGGCTCCGTGAGCTGCTCTGTGGCAGTGGCTTCTGTGACCTGCTAAGCTCTGATTTGCATTCAAATGTGAATGTTCTGGCAGATGTCTCGATTCTTTCATTCACATGGAGGAATTCGAATGGACAAGAAGTCTTAAGAGAAACCGAAACAATAAACCTTCACAAGAGGAAGTTTAGAAAGGAAAAAAAGTGGGAAGGTTGGGTAACTGTATTGTATTTGTCGGTCACCTTTAGCCTGACTCAAGGACAGCCCTGCCTTTTTTGCAGCTGTTGTGCGGGTGTAACCGGTTTTAAAAAACGAGAGCAGTCCTTCTGTTAAATTGTTTCATGTTTACTGACTAAATGCTGTCAGGTCATCAATGCAATCAATCCTTATCAAGAAGTTCTTTTCATGACATGTCTTTATTTTTCTCAATTTAATTGTGTGTCTTCATGCTTAGTTTCTAAGGCTACCTTGCATTAATGGGAGATACACTCTTGACGTCATCTAAAGAACATAAGGTCTTGAATTGTCTCAAAAGTTGTGCAGCTGTGACTGTCGGTTATTTTGTTTTGTAAATCCATTAATAATTCAAATGCCTTCAAAACAGACTACAATAATAATTCAAAAAAATATGCAGATGATTGATGGTAAGAGCAGAAATACCAATGAATATTAGTGATTGACAATTGTATGTGTATTGAGTTGTGTGACCTCTCAAACATCTTCTATCTCATTGAAATATCTAAATGTTTACTATATTGGCTTCTTTTTGATTGTTATAGGAGTTCTAGGGTTTGCACTGAAAAAGAGAATGTCTTGAGACTTTTGGGGCAAAGGGGGAAAAAAAGTTTCAGGATCCTGGTCTGGAGGTCATACTATGGATTCTGTTTGGCATAAAGCACTCTCGGCTTTCTCAGCTGGGAAATCGTGTGAATGTTCCTAGACAAAAGACTGCTGGCCTTGTGTGTGTGTGCAGATGCACTTATTTAAGTAGCTGTCACAGGATTCTGAGGCTCTCCACCAGCAAAGTGAAAAGCCCATTGAGGCCCAGAGGTCTAGTCCTGCCTCCTCACATTATTTCGGAGAGCTGGGGCATCATGACCAGACCACTGTTTTGTAGGGTATGAAAAGATTTGGGGTCGGGGTACAGGAGCAGCTGTTAGATTGATTATATATTTATAAACAACAAAGGGAAAGAAGAAGGAATGCCTTGTTTACTTGGTATTGTGCTGACTGGACAAAAATAACAATATGACTGTGGTCAGCAAGAATAATGAGCAGACAATGAGCCACATGGTGCATAATTAAGAAAATGCAGGGTGCTTGGGTTTGGAAACTATACTTTTAATTCTTCTTTCCACGAACAGTAAGGACTTTGCAGAGATTATGCGGAGTTTGGAGTTTTAGAAAAAAATATAAGACATCATAAAAACAGGAAGAAAAAAAACTAAAGGTGAATATTGATTCCCTTAACTGATAACATTCATGACAATAAGTGTTATTTGCAAAGTCAGTTTTATTATAAAGGCATTCTAAAAAGAATTTCTCAAATGTGTCATATTTTGACTAAATTTAGAATTTTAGAAAAACTTTAACCATTTTATGAAATCTCTCCCATTTTAGTTTTTGCACTCTAAATAAATGACAAAACCTAGACGGTTACAGTTGCAAATGTAACACGAAAGCTGTATTTAGTATGCATTTAAAGAAATTAGTACATTGAAGGCGAAACATTGTTTTGTTTGCATAGTGCTTCAAAGAATAGCTTGTAGTTGAAGTTGTTATTCATAAACAGTCCTTTCTACTTGTGTTATTTCATTTTCTGTTACATTAATCACCAACAGAAGATAGACACACTGCTCATCCAAATAAAAGAGATGCCCATGTTTACTAAAAAGAGGTTCCATTTACGTTAGTGCTCTAAAGAGCTCTTGCCATCCGAATTTTCTTAAAGTTTTTATTGCTGGCAATCTCTGATTTTCAGCAAAATAAGGACTGGCCATCAGCCAGTGAATCCAAGTTAAATTCAGTCCCAATCTTTTCTTTTCCATTGATGCCAACTTGTCTTTCCAAAAAATCAGCAGGTGGTGGATTCTTCATGGTTTTATGAAATTATTGGGTTTTGACCCAAATTTGTTTTCATTACTGTCAAATGTTCACATTTCACTTCACTTTTCAATTCTGCATAGATAAATATTTTTTAAATGTAAAATAAAACCCAGTGTTTTTCGGTATTTGGGCGATAATTATTATTTGTCAAATCACTTTAAATCCTAGGAGATTTTGGGTGTTTCAGACTGTACTGATCACTCAAATGTAATTTCAACACATGTAACACAAGTATTTCAATACTGTGTCACAAGCATTCTTTCTGTGACACGAAAGTCAGGTTAGCTTTCTGTAAGCATTTTTTACAGTAGCAGAGTGTTAAAAGGACTTGCTAAAATCAGCATGTTTGATCCTTACAGAGATGACAGCTCTTTGGCATTGCTTTGCCAATGCAGTCAGCTATAGAATAAGAACAAAAGACTGAGTCAGTGATATAGCCTTCAACTTTGGAAGCTATGTGAGTTTGAAACAATTCCTTTTCAATTCATGATCATGTCATACATGTGTATTAAAAATAAAACATTAATGATTGAAAGGAGTCTTGAATAAAATTACATGTTTCAGCCATTTGTGTAAAAGTTAGCTATAGAATTTCTAGTCCAAAATATGAATCTGAAGATTAAGTAGGTTGCATCTGCAATACAGCTTATAGCAAAATAAGGTAACAGAGGAGGGGTGTTTAAATAAAGTGTACAAACTTTTCCATTGCGGATATTATGTTCAATCCTTGAAGGGATGTTATTACATTTGGTTTTCTGATAACATTTCTGTTTTTTCCTTTTATCCTATGTTACAAATTTATTCTAAATTGAAAATACTTAATTAAAAGCAAGTGTGTTGAACGTCATTTCTTCATTATATGTCAGAAGTGAAAACCTTTAGAAAAGGTGTTATGGATAATACTTTTCACATCCTGCAGGGTTTATGCATACCAAGAGTAGTCCCATTATTTGCTAGTGTGGATGTATTTCATTTGATGACATGTAATACTAAAATCTCAACAATTAGTCATAAGATTAGTAACATTTCTGAGCAAATTAACAGCTTTATTGAAAGCCATTTTATTTTATACTGATTTTTTAATTGTCTAAAAATAAAAGATAAGTGGATATTGGCCTTTTTTAGGATTTGCTATTGGAGAAAGATCTTATCATGTGTTAAACATTTTGAGCACAAGTAACACCATTAAAAAGGCACAAGAATCTGGATTAATTATTTTTGTATACGTACACTATATGTACATTTTATTTAGAATAATTGCAGTTCAATACTTTGTACAGTAACTCAATTTTAGAGAATACTCTTTGAACAATTAGTTTGCAAAATGATATGATATCTATTTTATCTGGACAAGTAAACAGCTAGTCCAGAATAGTTGGTATAGTATATGCTATAATCTATTGTTATGTTAAGAATTTTCGAAGAACATTTGAAGAAAATCTTAAAACCAAAATGATGGTCACCTAGTTAGAATGCTTTTTGGATCGCAGCTCAAATTCAGAGACTGAGAACCATTTAACTTAATCATCTTAAGCCTTTATGTTTTGTCTTTTATCACACTAACTCAT